AGATTGTATTCGATAGAGAGCTAAGCTCTCGGCTACGTAGCTATCTATATACAATGCTGGTTGCTAGGGTAACAATCGGGCCGGGCAGGTGGAGTAAACGAGGTCGTAGACGAGTATGGGAGGCGAAGGGCGTTCAGCCCGTTACATGATTGCCGAGTAATTCGTGTGGAAAATAGTTATGGATGTTAACCGGTAGTAAAGACAATCAATTCTATCTAGGATAGAATAACAAAGTAACAATCTTGTTAAGTGACAAAGCTTGTAAGAAAGTACAGTATAATGAGTTGACCACAACGAGTGTAATAATGAAATCCAACCTATTCTTATACCCATCGTGTCCTGTCCTGGTGCTCCCTATTCTCCCTCTTCCACTGGAGCAGTGGGAGCACAATTCTCCCAAGGCCACCCGTGCTCCGGGAGCAGGGCTCTTGGCGGGAGCACACATCACGTGACCTCAAGCCCCGCGATGATCATTACCTTCTGACGTGGACGTGGTTGGCCTTCAACCTCGTCGTCCCCCGTCAAGGAGAGAATCCTTCTAGTTACTTGTAACATTATCCCCCCTCTTAGGCGTATCGTCCCGATACCCTGGGTTATCGTTTTCCTGTGCCGATTCGTGAGGCGTGGGCTGCATATAAGGTCGGTAGGCCCCGGGCCATTGTATCCGTCCCTTCCCTCCAGCCTTCCTAACCATGCCCAAGGTTCCGTCTTCCGCCCGTGATACCGTGTTAACTTCGACTCAACGTCGCAGGCTCGGTCCGACAAGATTCGTCGTCGGGGAAAAGAGATGACTTTCCGCTGTAAGCGCTGTGAGAAGAAGAATCTTTGTTGCTTTGTGGATACTGTGTCTGGGCAGTGCGCTGGTTGTATTGCTGTAAAGGCTAAGTGCAGCTTGTTTGTGACTAAAGAAGAGTGGGAAAAGGTTAAGGCTGAGAAGCGTCAAAAGCGTCTTGAGCTTGCTCGTTCTAAGGAACAGACCGCGCGACTTCGTCGCGAGCTTCTAGAGGTTGAGGCGCGAGAGCGAGCATACGCTGATCGTGATTACGCCCTTCTGAATCTTCAGAATCGCGAAAAAGAGGAGGCTAAGGGGAGTTCTGCCCCTGGTATGGATTTTCCGACAACCGAACCATCGCTACCCGCACTGTCGACTGACCCGGGCTGGTTACAGGCTGATTATTCTTCCTCTTTCGATCCTTTGTCCCTTGATTTTTTCCTTTCCCTTGAGAATCCAGTTCTTGTTTCTTCGGATGCTTACGATGGTACTCACGTACTAGTGACTTGCAGTTCGTTAGATTTCCTTTAGGTTCCCAAGTGTTATGGCTTTCGGGCCATCCCTGCCACTTGACCAAGTACTTCCACTAACTACCGATTTTCCGTAGGTCCTTGATTTCCTCGACTACGTACTCGTCGTCTTCGAGCTCTATGTTGTCCGCTAGCTCGGCGTTTTAGGGTGCTAGTTCTAATAGCTTCTTGTGGAACACATTGTGTATGCGCATGCCTGGTGGTAGCTGGAGTTTGTAGTTTACCGGTCCAATTGTCTCTAGGATTTCAAATGGTCCTAATTGGAGATTATCCAGTTTCTTGCTTGGTCTTTTAGTCTTTAGGTTTTGCCGTGATAAGAAGACTTTGTCCCCCTTCTTAAAGGTTGGTCCCTTAATTCTTTGCTTATTTGCTGCTTTAGATGCCGTGAGGTTCTTATAAGCTATATTCTTGCTCAATTCTTCGTGCAATTCGCGCATTAGTTAAGCTTTGTCGTCTGCTCCAACTACAATGCTTTCGATGTCCTTTAGATCTCGATGAGCAACTGGCTCATATCCGTAGTTCGCATAGTGTGGCGAGTACTTCGTAGTCGCCGAGCGAGTGCTGTTGTAGGCCAATTGTGCTGTCGGCAAGAGTTCAACCCAGTTGTCTTGCAGCTTATTAGCGTACATTCGTAAGTACTGCTCTAAGGTTTAGTTTGTTCTTTCCGTCTAGCCGTCCGTTTCCAGGTGAAAGCTGGTCAATAGCTTTATTTTGACTCCCAATTTTGCCGTGAATGTTTTCTAATACTTCGACGTGAACAATTTATCTCTGTCTGTAATGAATTCTTCAGGTATTCCGTGCTCTGCCCCTAGGGCCTTAGAGACCTCGTACGCGCATTCTTCTGCCGTAATGGTTTCTTCCGTAGGCACAAACTTCGCTCCTTTAGTCAATCGGCATACGATTACTAGGATTGTATCGCAAAGTTGAGCTGATCCTGGTTCTAGCGATTTCGGGAGCTTTACTATGAAGTCTATTGTTACGCTACTCTATGGTCGCGTGGGTGGCGATAAGGGTTGTAACAGGCCG